GAGCCACTCCAGACTCTGGACCATACTGTTGGGAATTACCTGGCTGCCTTATTAACAGCCAGCTCAGCCTCTCAGCACTTGGCTGAGAGCTGAAGCCAACTGAGCCCACTCCCTCCCCAATGCAGTGCTCCAATGAGTGCTGAAGGGGCAGAGTGGAGAGGGCTGACTAACAATCACTGGACTCTGCTCCGAGCAGAGAACTGAGCGATCAGATGTCATGTGCTTGCTCAGCTCTTGAGATTAGAGTTGGTGTGGGACAGCTGCAGGATCAGACTGACTTTTTAAAAAATGTTTATATACCCCAAAATTTCTCCTTTTAAGCACTATTAAACCCAAAACCAAAAAATGTATATACGGTATAAATGTTAATTGCAGCTAATCAGTCATTAGGTGTGGTGGCAACATTAATTTTGTATTATAATCCCTCCACTCTGGATGCAGAAGCACAGGGGCATCTTTGGACAGCAGCATTGTTAATCGGGGGGAAGAGTGTTAGATGTACTACCAGATTTAGGTACACTAATGAATTGACATTGAATTTCAGCTAACACTTTATAAGCAGTTACCACAAACTGTTTTTTTCTTCTTTTTTTTTTTCAGAAAAAGGTTTTATATAAAAAAACAGACTTATTGGCCGGCTCACCAGGTGAAAATAAAGGAAAGACTAAAAAAGAAAAACTAATGCAGCCATCACATCTAATATGCTATATAATGTTTGCTTTTGGGCGTGAGGTGTTACTAAACCCACAACAGTAAAATCAGTCTGTATATGCAGTAAAGCATGCTTGTTATACTCACTGTGGAACCTAAGGGGTTAATCCTCTGTATTGTGCAAAAAGGCCATTTGATCCTTTCTTCTCTGTTTCTCCCCTTTTTTCAAGCAACCATCTCTTATCTCCTGATAAGATAAACTGAACCGTAGGCATTTGCACATGCTCTGTTTGGTGTGTATAGACAGTTTTTTTTTTCTTGGGAGAATGCATGTGATCAGCACTGGTCAGACAGAGGTCAGAGGTTTTGCATCCTCCTAGAGCAGAAAGAAAACTCCTCCTACAAGCTTTAACCAATGATGTGCTGAAGTCACAAGACTGCTCTAACAGCTGATGAGAAAAGGTATTTAGCAGTTTATATTTACTAAAATAATTGTGTTTCCATGTTCTGTGTACTGTGGGAGATCAGATATACTGAATGCAGGGTCCTGGGTTTAGTAACACTTTAATACCACTTTAAATAAACTGCTGAACTTGATATTGATAGTTCTTTGTTTTCTCTATAATTGTTTCCCCAATTGTCCACTTTTTACAGTATATTCTTTTTGACAGTAATGTGATGTCGTAAGCTTTATGGGGCTTCTCCTTTTTTTCCCTTCTCTTCTTTTTTTCCCTTCTCTTCTTTCTCCTTTTTCTCTTACCCCATGTTCAATATTTCTTTATTAAAAATACTCCACTCAGGTTTCTAATTGAGTATTATTGATCTTCCTCACTGATATGGAGTTTGATTGTTATAATCTCCTCTCTATACTTAAATAATATAATACTTTGAAAAAAAAATAAAGAATATAATAAAGAGAAGAAGAAAAAAACAAAAAACTCAAACTTTTTTTTTATTGGTTTTACTCTACAAGACAGAGCCTTTGGGCATTCCATGACTCAAAAGAAAACACAACATAAAAAAGAACAAACAATCCCAACCGTAGTCATATTATATTCTATATTTAATATATGTATTTATCTTGTTCCATTTACAATATATGTGTATTAAAAGAGACGTATTGGATTTTTTTTTAAATCATGCTTACCTAGGTGGATGCAGCATCTGTCTCCTGCTGGCTCTAAGGGTGAGAACTCAGCTATCACATGACTGCTGATCACTGAGTTCTCACACCCGCTCTGAGCAGAGAGCGGTGACTGTCAGTCACCACTCTCTGCTCTGCCCCCATGCTCACTGGAGTGCTTGGATGTGGAGAGGGAGGGAAAGGCTGGCTCAGGCTTTCAGCATATCGCTGAGAGGCTAAGTCAGTTAGTGGTATATCTAGGTTTTGTGCTGCCCTAGGCAACACAAAAAGTGCCCCCCCACTTTCCGGCTGAGAGAGCCTTCCACTAACACCCACCAAAAACCACCCCCACCTCTCCCGGCAGCTGAGAGAGGCTTCCACTAACACCGCCCCTCATAAGACCACCACCACCCTCCCCGAAAAAGAGAAAGACACTCACCTTCACAGCTGCGGACATCCCCAGGAATGAGAGTTGGGCTCTGCATACACCGTCAGGCAGCACGCAGTCTCTCTCAGATCCCACCTTGTGTCCATGCCGTGCATGTCCCTTCTTCCGGGGGGGAAGCGCCACCCCTCCTGAAAAATGCCACCCTTGGCAAACACCTTGTTTGCCTTGCAGTAAATACACCACAGGGCTGATCCAGGTTCTGCTCCAGACTCTGGGGTGGTTCCCATCTTTACAGTTGGGTCTTTCCCCAGCCTGGACCAGCTGAGTGACATCAGCCAACAGCGGGCTTCAACTTCAGCTTGCTGTCAGCTGAAAGCGGGTCCCAGGAGTGCAGAATGAACTGCACTCCTGTGATCCACAGAAGAAGTACAGCCAAAAGAGCTTTGTCTGTACTTCTCCTTTACGTTTGCCTGTAACCCTGAAACCTCAACTGTACCATATATAAACTATAAAAAAGTGATTATTTAAGGAGCCAACATATATAGGCCCCTAATTTACTGAAATATCACTGTAATATCAATTTATGTTAGAGTATGTAGGCATTATAAACAACTTCCTGAAGACACCGCTGGGCGAAACATACGTCAAAGAAGCGTCATTATGTCACTTGCAGGTCCAGGAATGTCCAAACAGAGTGAGAACGAGGCTTGGATCACATGGTGGCCATTTTAGATCTATACAGGCTGAAAACACTGGTGCCGGTTCATAGGCACCTTACCATGTGAGTGCATAAATGTATGTTTTAAAATTCATTACTCAACATTACAATACTGCACTTAGAAGGTACTTTTCACTTGGATTGTCCGGCACTATTCCCATGGGAAAACTATCCTATTAAGGATTATATATATTGGAGGCAAACAGAGAGTCCATAATCATTTATATTGGCCACTAGCAGACATTGCTGAAGGGGAGATACCATGGTGAGAGGATGGTCTCCTATATGACCAAAAGCGCACCCGACCACTTTAATTGGGGTCAAAAGATCTGGTGAGTGAGCAATCTGTATTCATTACTCCTGTTGGCACGTGATGAAGATTTCTGTCACAATCTTTTTCCTTGTCCAGTCTGGGTCACAGGCAAAAGAAGCTGCAAGGACTGTCACTTTAATTTATTTCATGGACTTCTGTTCATATGTATTTTGACATAATTGTCCTGACATTTGTATGAAAACATCATTTTTGCATATATACCATATACAAACTGCTGAAAGTGATTTAAAAAACTGGGGTTTATTATCACTTTAATTTGCAACTAAGCAATACCACTGGATAACATATAGTCTAAAAAGTAACAATTGCATGCTGCAATTCTTTAATCTGTATAACTTTGTAACACAACTGTCACTCATTACTGTGTACCAGTTCTTTTTAACCCCTTGCCTGCCGCCCTATAAATACTGCTACAGGGCAGCAGGGCTGCGCAAAATCAAGAATATATACGTGATTCTGCATTTCCAGGTAGGGGGCGTGTGCGAGCCGTGAGCACGTCCTACCTGCACTGCCATTGGCGGCCTCAGCTTACGATCATCGGGTCCCGGATGGTGATTCCCGTCAGCACCCGGCGATCACCGAGTATCACTGACAGTGGAGAGACCTGTATGTAAACAATACAGATCTCTCCTGTCAGCTCCTGCACATAGCAGAGCAATACAAAACAATGTGCTTACACAGTAAAGCACAGCAGTTAACCCTTTGATCGCCCCAGATGTTAAACCCCTTCCTGCCCAGTGCCATTAGTACAGTGTCAGTGCTTTTTATTAGCACTGATCACTGTATTAGTGTCACTGGGGATGTCAGTGACACCAAGTCAGTTCCCCCCAGTGTCAGAATGTCTGCCACAGCCCCAATATAGGTTTCTGATTGTCACCATTACTAGTATAAAAAAAATCCAGTATGTATACTGCCATTTGTAGAAGCTATAACTTTCACGTAAACCAATGAATATACACATATTGGGCTTTTTTTTATTTCCAGCAAAGACATGTAGCAGAATACATTTTGGCCTAAATTTATAATGAAATTAGATTTTTACTGGACATGTTTAATATCAAAAAAGTAAAAAATAATGTTTTTTCTCAAAATTGTTGTTTTTTTTCTGTTTATAGCACAAACAAAATTAAAAACTGCAGAGGTGATCAAATGCCACCAAAAGAAAGTTCCATTTGTGGGAAAAAAATGACAAATTTAATTTGGGTGCAGCATTGCATGACCGCGCAATTGTCAGTTAAAGTAACACAGCGTCGTATCTCGCAAAGCATGGCCTGGTCAGGAAGGGGGGGGGGGGGGGTAAATCCTCTGTAGGGCAAGTGGTTAAAACATAACAAACTCCACGCCAAATACAAGGAATACAGTGACATCCCTGGCTGCCATTTCTGTTGAATGTGATTTCCAGTTTTAATAACATCACTTTTCCCCAGAGTCACCTGCACATGGAATGATCCTCTCCCTGCCATGATGTACACACAGCATCGATCCCCTTTGTTCTGGATTACACGAGTTAATTAGAAGTAAATGGCTGGTAATATGTGCTCTAAGCAGAGCCCATTGTCCTGACAGTTTTTTTTTTCACAGCCTGTCAATACCACGTGACCCGGGAGTGATCTTGAAGGGAGCAGGGAGGTAACAAATGGGTTAAGTCCCTCTGTATTTCTATTGGCTGCCGAAGGTGGGCTGCACAGAATACGCTGCATGCAACCAGCATCAGCCATCTCCTTGCAGGGTCTACCCTTGAAGATCTGAAGATCTATGCCTTGCATTGTCACCTCTGTCACCTACAATGATCATCTTGTATTTTAGGACCTTTCAGCCTTTGCTGCTTCTTTGCCTCTTGGAATGGAGCTCCTTGACTGTTGAAGAGGTAAGGCTCCCTGGTGGTCCTCATGGAAGGCTAACTTCTTCTGGGTTGGAGCCTTCAGGATCTGCTCTCCTCCAGCGATTCAGGAGAGGAACTACCTCGGTTAATATAACCAGGCAAGTAAGCCACCCTAGTTTATTGCCCAATGAGTCTGTGTGTCCATATAAAGTGTTCAGCGAGGGTCGAGCTGCCTACAAAGGCTTGTGCTTCAGGACCATGGCTAGAGACTTCCTCTGTGACCAAAGAAGCTGCCATTTGTTCAGTTCTGGGAGGTCTTTGTTGGCCAACGTGCTGAGGAACAGCAGTGTCCTTTTACAATGGCAGCCACCAGCTGTCTATAGATCTGACCTGAAAGGTTTTTTCATTAACTGCTCATGGAATGGCACTTATACTCGTTTCCAGTGTGACAGTGTCCAGCTTGGCATCAACTGCAGGGACTACCTCCTTACCAATGTCCATGATAATGTCAAGTACAGGATCTGCCTGCAGACTCTCTACACTAACAGGACGTCTATGGAGGAGTGTGTGGACTTTGTGGTGGAGCCACTGGGGATGCAGGATATTGTCATTGCTATGACAGCAGTTGGGGGTTCCATATGTGTGATGCTGGTCATCATTTGCCTCCTAGTGGCCTACATTACCGAGAATCTTATGCACCCCACCTTTATGCATCCTTCTGCTAAAAGAGGGCCATGACTCACCAGACCATTTAATCTTGGCTGTGTAATATTTGATAGGTTAGTCATATGTTTTTTTTCTTTAACTAAGCTGGTTTTAGGGTGGCTATACACACAGCTAACTTTTTACCAAGAAATCTACCCATGTTTGGGTGATTTCTTACCACAAAAAAACCCAACCACCTTCTTCCCAGATGTGCAGTGTATGCAGGGATTGTTCTTTGTTTATAAGGAATGCCCATAGGAAATGACCTTGTCAAGCAAAGGCTTTCAGATGTGTTGGATGTTCTGCATGCATGAATTTTTCCGATGCTTACTACTCTTCTTAACCTTTCCAACATTGTGGAACCCTTGAAATAACTTTCCAGTCTCAGGGAACCCCTAATACTAATTATATCTATAGCTCACAGTACATTATAGTGTGATGGTCAGCTGGAAAAATGCTCATCACATTTGTGGTCATTAGGAAGAATGCCCTCTTAAAAATAGCTAAAAAGGATCATTGTTGTCAGTGCTTATGATATAAGTTGCTCAAAGAACCCCTAGCAACCTCTAGAGCATCCTTTCTCAACCTTTTCAACATGGAGGAACCCTTGAAATAACTTTCTGGTCTCAGGGATTCCCTGCTAAAAAATACTATATCTACAACTCATGATACATTAGTGTGATGATCAGTGGGAAGAATGCTCCTTACACTGGTGATCACTGGGAAGAATTACACTCTTCCAGATAGCTAAAAAGATCAATGGTGTCAGTGGGAACTTATCTGAGAGGCAGAAATTGCTCATTGCTCCAGGAACCTCTAGCAACCTCCACAGGAACCCTTAGGTTCCATGGAACCCTAGTCGAGAAACCCTGCTTTAGAGGAAGCCTGCATGAGAAAGGCTGGGTTACAAGAAGTAGCTCTTGCTATGCTTGAAACACTAACAACTAACCTGTCAGCTGGTAGTGGAAATAAAAGGTGTGTTTGCCTGACCTGGCTATCAACAGCAATGGTCTGGTCATTGAGAGATCTGCCAGTTGTGGAAGCACTTGCTGCATGCCTGTGATTTTTAAACCTAACTTGTGGGCATTGTATCCTGGCATACATGTAGTTAAATATTTCCTTTTTCCATGATGAAAAAAGAATTATCCTTCAATAGTTAAAACATTTCCAGTCATGTTGGAAAATCCATGGATACAATAACAATACTCATGCGAGTTTGCTGTTGCATACATCATAACCCTTTTATCATTAGTGATAGCAGTTGCATGAATTGCAGCAATTGCACTGTCTATGGCTGTCTGTTGTAATGGAAACAGATAAGGGGATTAGCTCACTGTGAAATTTTGTGTTTTTGCCAAACAATACCCCTTTTGACATAAAAGAGAACTGTATGGCCTGTGATCCTGTGATTGCCATTAGAAAGCCAAGATTTCCAGCATGTACTTCTTGCCTTTAGTTCAACTGGGTGTGCTGAGACTAGTTCCTCCCAGCAGATAAAATGCCATGGGCTTATGACGTTGCACATTGCAAAGAGTAGTGATGATGTGAATTGTGCAGTATGTTATAGAAGCCAATCAGAATTCACCTTTCACTGGCCAGCCTTGTTAACATTAAGCTGACTGGTTGAAATGGGTTAGTGCACTTAGCTTATCATCATTGTACTTTCTATTACCTTAAAACAGAATTCTTCTTCTTGACCATCTTTGTTTAAAATTTTATTTTGTGGAAATCCACATTAAAGTGTTTCATCAATCTGATCTTCATTGGTGTCTATACACAGTACAACCAAGTTTGTTTCTTCATTTGTGTTTCCTCTTTTTGTATATTACCAATATATTTCACAGAGCTTTAAAGAGAATACAGAGCCATTTACAGCAATCATTGCTCAAAATCGAAATTCCCCATAACATCCATAGAGTTAAATAGTATTTTTTGGAGGAAAAGGGTCCCACAGGGAGAACATACAAACTCCCAAGAGTGTCTCAGGTATGATTCAAACCAAGGACCCAACATTGCAAGGTAAGTGGGCTACCCATATATGCAGCATGCCCACTGCACATAAACTAGCTAAAGGCTGGTCTTTAAATATTTCCCCATAAGCAGAACGAGCGGTACAAATACATCTATGAGCAGTACAAATACATGTTTGGATAATTCAGTAATGAAGAAATGGACCAAAGAAATGTGGAGGTGAGTGAGGCATTCAAACCTCTTGGCATAGAAATGCATAGTATTTTATTTTTACATTTGAACTCCAGGCAGATATTAAAGTCATATTCACAAATTATTTCAGCCTTGTATTAATTAATACAGCATTTTTTAATGCAGTGCAAGTATATGAATTTGAGTTTGTATCAACTTCCAGCAATGCCTCTACAGCAGAGCTCAGACTAATAGAGGAAGAAGCAGCACAAGGGGCCAATCAGTTGCGTTGCAGTGCTCATAATCTAATAAGGAATGTTAAGCTGATAAGAGGGCAGAGTGACACAGAGATGCACTCATCAGTCTTCTGCTTTTTTTCATTCAGTGTCCCATCATCAGCCAGAGAGGGACAAAACCTATAAGTGTTACTGAATTGCTGCAGAATAAAATTAGGTCTCCTGCCCAGCCAGACAGGGTTGTAGGGCTGATTAAATATCAGAAATGGAAGGACAGAGACTTCATCTATTGGCAATTAAAACAGTGCATTTATTTGTATTCCTGGGGATCATCCTTAAACATGAATGCTGTGGTGCCCGCACCTTTACTTCACTACTTACAGAGTCATTAATGAGGAACAAGTAAACAGGCTAAGACTCCTCAACTGAAACAAGTATGTAGCCAGTGAAATCAGCATTCCTGACCTGCATATTTGTCCCTCGTCAGTACTCACTAAGTACTGAGCATTGATGACAAGCAGCAAGCTTTTTACCTTCAAAAAGAAGATGTGGGACCTCCCATATTTCTATACTGATGGTTCCTCTTTAAAAACCATCTATAGTCTGTCTAGCAGTAATTATTCCCATTCATCTGGAATTGTTCTGTAATATTAAAGACATTTAATCCAAGCCACGTCTTCAATGAGTGTCAGAAAAAGAAGTGCCTTGAAGAAGCCACAAAAGGCCTTCAACATTACTGATCAAGCCCAGCTGAATTTGACCAACTGCTACTAGATAAACAATGATCTTGATAAAGCCTTCATAGACAACCAACCATAGTCTATGTGTTACTTTCCCTGTAGGGTTGAGCAGAGTGGCTCAAGTTTTTTTTTTTTTTAATATAGTGCCCCCCCCCATTGTGAATGTAATTTTTTTCCTGGTACGCTGACTGTAGGGTTGCTTTTGACCTGGGACCTAAAATGAGTGTTGACCATTTAATGCAACAGCATGAACATCATAACTGATGTTCTAAGGAAAGCAAAATGTATTCCTTGTTAGGGTCCAATTAGGGGCGGACTGACAACTCCTGGGGCCCCTGTGTCCTTGCCAAAACTCAAAAAAGCCTATGAAAAAGGTACCAGGGGCATCTCATGTGCCCCCTACTGACCCCGGGCCCTTGGGCAGTGCCAGAGTTTCCAAATGGTCAGTACGCCCCTGGGTCCAAATCATTAAGGCTAAATTCCACTCAAATAGTTGTATACACAGTTGAAATACTTACATGTGATTGGCTGATTCAGGCCAGGCCATGGACCTCCCCGCAGGTGACACAGCAGTTAAGTAAGTGCTAGTTGCACTAGCATAAGGCCTATGAAAATTAGGCCATTTCAGAAGGCCTTTGACGGGCAGTGAAGAGGCATTGTGTCACCTCCTAACCACCTGTTTTAACCCCTAAAAGCCTGCACCACTGTGCCAAAATCACATGCATTGCACACAGTTGCGTCACAGCCCCATTCACTTGAAGGGATCACGTTTGTTAGGTGGTACTGCATGCCAAAAATGCTAGGGGGGGTTATTCTTGCTGTGGCCATTAAGCAAAGCTGCCTTTGCAGCTTAATGGGGAGTACCTGGGGGCTAGTAAAAACACGCGCTTGAGCTGTGTTTTTTTTTACCACCCCCAAATGGAAGTGTAAACAAGCCATAATACAGTCTTGTCCAGAACACACCCCACTTGTGAGTAGGCAATGATGGAGCAGAACACTATTCACATCATCCCTATGCCATTCTGTAGGCAAGTGCACATACAGTGAGGAACAGAAGTATTTGAACACCCTGCGATATTGCAAGTTTTCCCACTTAGAAATAATGGAGAGGTCTGAAATTCACATTGTAGGTGCATTCCCACTCTGAGAGACAGAATGTAAAAAAAAAAATTCAGAAAATCACATTGTATGATTTTTAAAGAATTTACTTGTCCTGCACTGCTGAACATAAGTATTTGAACACCTGAGAAAATCAGTGTTAATATTTGGTACAGAATCCTTTGTTTGCAATTACAGAGGTCAAACGTTTCCTGTAGTTCTTGACCAGGTTTGCACACACACTGCAACAGGGATTTTGGCCCACTCCTCCACACAGATCTCCTCTAGATCTGTCAGGTTTTGGGGCTGTCGCTGAGCAACACGGAGTTTCAGCTCCCTCCAAAGATGTTCTATTAGATTTAGGTCTGGAGACTGCCTAGGCCACTCCAGAACCTTGATATGCTTCTTATGGAGCTACCCCTTGATTATCCTGGCTGTGTGCTTCGGGTCGTTGTCATGTTGGAAGACCCAGCCACGACCCATCTTCAATGCTCTGACTGAGGGAAGGAGGTTGTTGCTCAAAATCTCACAATAAATGGCTCCATTCATCCTCTCCTTAATACAGTGCAGTCATCCTGTTGCCTTTGCAGAAAAGCACCCCCAAAGCATGATGTTACCACGCCCATGCTTCATAGTAGGGATGGTGTTCTTGGGATGCAAATCATCCTTTTTCCTCCAAACACGATGAGTGAAGTTTAGACCAAAAAGTTCTACTTTGGTCTCATCTGACCACATGACTTTCTCCCAATGCCTCCTCTGGATCATCCAGATGGTCATTGGCAAACTTCAGACGGGCCTGGACATGTGATGACTTGAG